CAAACGCTGCCCTCGTCAGCACTACATCTGCCACTATCACCACCACCACTATCGCTACTACTACTACTACACTGCCGGTGGCATTCATCCAGGAACCGGTATTCGTATCCGAAGTGTTTTCTTGGTGCAATATTTTTGAACACAAATCGAATATTAATGTTTTAGCGGTGAACTCCTCGAAAACGCCAAGGTTACAAGCGCTCACCTAACTGGCCAACTTCCATCAGAAATTGCTACCTGTGCTGCATTTACCCACTATGATTCATTTCCAATCATTTCTTATTTCACTTTTAAAGGTCAGTGAGTAAATGCAGAACAGTTTTTTATCCATTTCCGGTGTGTACATCGCACGACTACCTTTACACTTTTGTCTTCACAGCAGAGATATTTAGGCAGTTGATAAACTTAAGTTTGAAACAGAGAAGCGATTGCAGATTGTTTTTGCCGCCGCTGCATTTTCATCGGAAGGTTGCGGCAAAGACCGGAATTGCTGGTTCCAGCCATCTGGCTGTGAAAAGATGCTAATTGAAACGTGTACGGGTTCGGTGCAGTGGGCAGTGCATGAGGATGGGGTGCAGTTCGAGTTGCAAACAACGACGCGTGGTCTGGACCCCGACAAGCCGAGTTATGCCGCTTTAGGTATCAGCAAAGACATGCATATGGTTCGATTTTTGGCTCATTTGAGCATTTTAAGATATGCAAAGCTGCCGCTCATTTGAAAGCTGCTTTAAGTTTGTGTTCAGTGCAGAACGTGAACTGTTACCTGAGTAGAAACTACAATTTCTTTCCTTGAAAAATGGGAAGGTCATGAAAAGATTTACTCAAGCAGAATTGGAAGTGGCATAAACTAGCATTGGAGCGCCTAATCTTTGTAAGTCCTTTTTCAAATTTTTATTAAGCTACTTCATAATTCACCCAGAGCTGCGGCAAAAACAAAGCTAAAAAAATTATAGCTTTTTGTTCACTACGCTATCCCTTTCGTCCTCATCCTAATTTTAAGTATTATCAAATTCTGTGACTTTATCTTGATAATTCAGACACATTTTGCCAGAAACACAACTACTACAGTTCACATTTTACTGTGCATTTTTTAAAAAAAAAGAAAAAAATCCTAATTCACACTCGTTATATAACTGTTGCAAACACTGTTTATAGGGGCAATTTTTGAAACAATGTTAAAGCTGTTTTGAAACACTTAATTTCCCACAGTTTTTGTGTTTACGAAGCTTTCGCTTTTTTGGGGATCTTGATATAAAGGTTTTATCACATTGAGAGCGTCTGTCAGAACATGAACATTTTATAATAAACCAAATTCTGAGCGTAACAGTCCCCGACGTGCATGTCATGTGATAGATTTTCCACACTAAGATAGGATGCTTCGCTTTTTATGCATACTGCTTCAACGTGTTTAGGGTGACGATTCAGTAGTGGAATGCGTGATCGGCGTAGATGGCGTGGGACGAGCTTACGTTTCATTCAACGATGAAACAAGCAATGAACTATTGCTGCAGGCCAGCTTCTTTCTATTTTCAATAAACGCATTTTTTATTATAATTGTCCAACAAAAAATTTAGCACGATCTTTCAGTTTTGTGATGATTTAAGCACTTAAATAACCTGTACTCGAAAACAAAAGCATCGGCTAAATAAAACCAAGTACGGGATTATTTCCTTTGAAATTATGGTCGTTTGCACTGCAGCGCCAGCTGGTTGCGGATGAAAACTTGTTTTCAAAAGCTCTTTCCTCTGCTAGTTATTAGTGCCGTTGAACTGTTACTGGAAAGAACTGAAAAAATTTTATGAACATTCTTTTATTAACACACTCGTGCATGTTACTGCTGCTACAGTAATAACAAGTTTTGCGCTATTCCTGAAAATCATTTCAGTTAGTCGTTCTTAGCTCTAAAATACGAAATTCTTTTTATTTGACGAGCAGCCTAGCAGAATAATATAACAGCAGCCTAGAATATATAGTAGAATAACATATCACGCCCACACATACAAAGAAAATTTTAGGCGGAAAAGTGATTTCACGAATCAGGCAAGAAGAAAGTTGAACTTTACTGTAGTGTTCCTTTATACTTTGTGGGTTAAAGACTTTAAGTTCAGCTACTACATGTGCCAAAACCGTAGCGTTGACACATCAGAGTTGAAGTTGACAAGACTGGCAAAATGCCAGCCCGACAACTAAGCTGATTAGAGCACTCTAACTTTTTGAGAATATTTGTTTTTCATGGACGGACAAGAAAGCTTAAAATGAGCCTTGGCGTATGCCATTGTCATATGTTCGGGCACGTCAAAGATATCTGCTACGACAAAAAACGATTTCACTAATAGTCATGCTAGGAAGTTAAAATTTTGTTGAGCAGGAGGCGTTATTTTTCTGAGAATGTTTTGCTGTTCATGTGCAGTTCAGCAAGATGAGCTTCTGCCTAGGTCCTTCTCCATGAAGTTCAAATTTTAATACCACAGTTAAATCCAGCAGTACAGACGATCTCTGTAGAAGACGAAATCACGAAAAATGCTTGATTACATCAGCAAGCTTGATGTGTCGCTACTTCAAGTTTTTATATCAGCATATACTCTGTGATGTTTGACACATTCGGTGCATCCCCATGTTTTCTGCTAGTTTCAGGCATCTGAAGTGATGCTAACAGATATTGAATCATTTTTGGAAGATGGGCATATAACTTGCCGTATGAAGTGGTTATTCGACAATCGTCTACAAGTTCAAGAAGAAGATCAGTTCAAGGTCAAACACTGTTTAGTCTGAGACACTGGGCTTTAATATCGAAGTATATACAGCTCTGCATTATGTCATAAAGCACCATAGACATCTGAAAATGTTCGGCCGCCACAAGCTCCTGTACCTGACTTGGTAACTAGTTTTAAGCGCTGAATTTCCTAAATAAAACACCTTTGCGTGCAGTGATTGTAGCGCGCCTGCCTGCTTTTCAGTTCCGATTTTTGTGGATTGATTGTTTTCCAAATGCGAAAAGAGCAAGCATAAGGAAGCGGAAATGGCGTTGTAGAAGGATGTAGTAAGGGGGTAAGTCCCACCGTCACTGGAGATCTATTTTTAAAGCCGAAATATGACCAAGTAGTGCTGAACTCTGCATTCATAAAAGAGCTGACAAAGGCCTGCAGGTAGAATTTTTGTCTTTTATTCGAAAAGTAAGTAAGTGAAAATTATTGCCTTCTCTATTTCAATACATATTGAAAGTTAATTTTACCAGTACTTAGTTAAGGTGTAACTTTTTTGTGTTTGAGTCAAAGGTATTAGAAAGATCCATGAAATCATAAGCACTTCATCTGCTTCAAAAACATTTTAACGAGTATAGTGCGAAGGCAAATTTGCAGGTGTTCGCGTTGGAATTCGGCAGCTGGCATCTGCTCTTCGCGAAGGGGAATGCCGATAAATGGAGTAAGTTTGCTTTTCAAAACGTTACATTTTAAAAAATTTGATTTTGAGAAGAGCTGGAATTAATGAAAACTTCCTGTTGCTGGTAATTCAGAGTTTGTGTTAATAGTTGGATTAGGATTCTTATATTTTTTGCTCCTTTAGCCGCAACTTTGCACGAAAAAATGTAAGCTTTTATGGGCTGAAGCAAGTTGCTTTCGGCGTAGATCTGATCTTGAAGGCTTCGAGAAAGAAATTCACTCGGTGAACGATGGATCGCTATTTCCGTGGACCGCAGTTCAGCGCATCAGTTTTTGTCGCGAAAATTGCACGGCCGTAAGCGATGCGACGATTGGCCAAGTTGTAATCGACGAAATGAAGCAAACTGATGTCAGCAGATACTGGCGGTACCGATTTGCCGTCATACACGGTCTGACGCTTTCTAATTTATTCCATTCCTCTGTTTCACTCCTTACACATTTATATTTGGTAAGTGGGGTATAAATACAAGGCGTACACATCTAAGAACATGTGTGGGAAAAAATGCAAGGAGCGGAATGAAGTAAAATACGTGTAGGGCGCACGGATATGCCATATATATGCTCACGCAAAACACACCAAGTCTCTTTCCCTCAGCTGTTGTTAATCAAGAAATTTTGTTAATGGGTTAGTGATAAGTTTGCAAAAATGAAACAGATCGAGCGTTAGTTCATCAGATTTTCTTTATCTTCCTTTTCTGTGCAGCAAGACAGTTTTCTACTTTTTCCAGCTGATGGTCCATGAATTTTCATCTGCTCTAAAGCATTTTGAATCTGCTCTTATCCAGAAGACCGCGAATGGATGATGAAAATGTCCCTCTCCGTTTCGAATGCCTTTCTTACGTAATTTTACTTGCAAATCTCCTGAACAAACATAACATAACATGTGTTTTACGTTCGCGCAATTAAAATAATCACACCACACCAATAGTACGGCTCTGAATTTGGATTTACTTTCGTCACCTTGATCACCTTGAACAGCTGTTGTTTCATCGATCTCT